GAGTTAACAAAATACTAACAACAACAAACATATGTAACTCATTTTCAATGAAATCAATCTCCTGACTTTCTTACAAAAAGCCCCTTACATAAAGCCTTGAAAATGTCTCTTGCCTTCTAGGACTATTTTTACAATTATTCCTAAGAAAACTAAAGACATTGTGCAAAAAAAATATATAAGTGAAGAAACAAAGATCACTACTAATAAATATAAACAAAAACTACTGCTCATTTATATAACACAAGCAAAAGCCGCTTCCATCAAAATCTGCTGACTTTTCTGCAGAAGGCAGTGTGAAGCCCTACCAATGTTCTCCTCTCGGAATGTTTTCACACCCTCTCCTCAAGAAAGCTGACGGACATGTGCAAAAGGGATATATGGAAAAAGGGAAACACAACTTTTGCACAATGTAAGCACTACGTATAAATTCCCTCAAAATATAAAATGATTGGTTATAGAAAAGCTCAATCCACTGTACTGGCATTCATTATAAACAAAGGAATTCAGGAAAGTTATAATGCAATAATCATTTACAATGAATCACCCAGAACGTACCTTCTTAGCGAAAGCCTGCTGCTGCTGTTCGTTAATGGCAAGGGATGCACAGGCCACAGAGAACTGGATGATGAAGATGATGAACAAAACAATCATGTAGAAGAACAGCAACACCTGTTGGGAGTCATCAAATCTGTTAGTGATACTGTACTGGTTTGTGTAGTATGACTGCAACTAATTGGAGTATTTAATTGCATTATAAAATTATGTAGTAAAGAGAAATATATATTACATCAATGTTATATCACTTTTTTTTTTCTTCATAACTTAACCCCTTGGTGCCGGGTGACGCCGATCGGCGTGTACACAAAGAGCTCGAAAGCTGGCGTGCAGCCGAACGAGCCGGCGCCGCGCCAAAGCGCGGCGCCATTGGGTTAAAAGAGAGAGAGAGAGAGAGAGAGAGAGAGAGAGAGAGAGAGTGAGAGAGAGTGAGAGAGTGAAAGAGAGAGAGAGAAAAATTCTTGAAACGAATCTCCTAAGACACTCAAAACAGACAAAGAAAGAAAAAAGAAAGAAAGGAAACAGTCATCATTCACAAGTATTCAGAAAAATACAATACATATATTGACATCCACAACGACTATGAAATGGTGCTATCAAATCCTGTCTCTGCACTGTGTTGAGCTCCCTTGTCACTTACCTGGTGATGTTTACTTGCTCCAATGAGGCCCACTATGGATATGATTAGTAGGCAGACACCACAGACAATAATTCCAGTAACCAGTGACAGTGATGTGACAATGGAGGCCGCATTGGCAGCAGCCGCGACCCCAAATAGGATGAATGCCACAATCTGAAAGGTGGAGAAATTTATTAAACCAAAATGCTCTGTATCTAGACCTATGCACTTCTTAGCCACTCTCTGTTACAGCCTACTGATGATATTTTCTCTGAGGATTATCTGATCCATCCTCGCCCATTCTCTACTGAAATTCAATTGCAGGTTCACATGTACCTTCAATGGAAATCCCACATAGGAAATGGAAAAATTCTGTAGATACCTTTGTACTCACAACATTATGATTATTTAGATTTATTTCCTGTACTTGTTATAACATTTATACTGCTGCAATATGGTCTTTGGATACAGAAAAAAATTAACTATATATGAATAACTATATATGTTAGCCAAAAGTTGCTAACACATCATAAATACTTCATTGCTTTTGAATACAAGTAGCCTGTAAATTTTACTAGCTGCACCAATTTTACCAATTAATCTATAAGTCTCATAGCCCACACTCAACAGCTTGGTAATGAAGGGGTTAATCCGGGTCAGTAAATCTCAGTTCAAGTCCAATAGCTATCTTCTGATGACAGTAACTCCCAATCATCACTTAGAATGATGTTTCTCAGCCAGGTGTAAATTCATTCCTTGGAATAAAAATTCAACTGGCTGAATTTAAATTTAAAGTTCAACAAACTGGTACTACAGTATTTTTTTTCCTGATTTTTTTGTGAATGTCCACTGTGGCTATACATATTTTTTTCTCCATAATCAAAATATATTTCAGAAAAAAAAAGAATAACAAATGTGCTTCCTGTTATTGTATATCTCTTAAGGTGAGTTTTTATATTACTTTAAATAGGAAGTGGAAAGTTTGAGAACCACTGGTCTAAAAAGATACAGCTGTGTGAAAATGTTCTTTATCACATAGCCAAGAAAGGAAACTCAGCAAACATCCTGTTGCTCAATAACCTATGGTTTACATTCTCTCATCTTATCAAGTAATAAGGTAGATACATGAACTACCATATCTCCATATCTCCTCTGGTTTACAAAAGTTTACAAAATTAAATAAACACATCAGATGCATAATCTACTCACAAATATGACAATCCAAGCCATAGTTTCTATGTAAAGGTATCTTTAAATGCACTGAAAGACATATATTAACTAATCACCATAGGAAACAGAGGATCTACTCAACAGCAGCATAAGGTACTTTAAGATTATGTATTGCTGTGCATCATAAACATATAGGCAAAGATAACTATCAGAAGTAACTGATATCTGTAAACAATCTGGCATACATTCCTTTTCCTATTAATCTATTATAACTTCAATTTATGTAGAGTGATAAATGGTTTACAAAGAGAACATATAATGTTTTCATGTATTTTCCAAAATGCTACATGGGCCCTACGGTATCAACAATTTGGGCATTGAAAGATAGCTCTCAAGTTAACCCATTGCCGCCAGGGAAAATGAACAAAAAATGGGGAAAATGCTGTGCCTATTTTCTATATTTTCTGTGAAATGTCTGCCCATAGATGGCTCTGTTAGTGCCTGATTTGAAATGGCGGGAAAAACGTATTCTTCACTAGTGCCATGAATATCGATGGTGTTATTTTCATTATAAACATTCTAATTATTATAATGTTTTTTAATATTAGTAACAGCAAAATAAGATAACTTAAAATATTTCGTAAATCAAAGAAAAGGGTGAACGGGCAAGACAGGCTATACTCGTAACTGGCTCATTAGTGATTTAGTACAAGTGTAGCCATCTATGTTTGTAAACAATCAAACAAGTAATCTCACAGTGGGCATGGCATGGCATGCCCGTTGGCAATGGGTTAAAGATACCTACAAATTGTATTTTCAAACACAGCTTAGAAAGCTAAAAAATAAATAAATGTGCAGAAAACTTCAATATTGACAAAACCATACCAGAAGCTATCAGAATACAGATAAGAATGTAATCTTGTTTGCAGTTTTGTGAGATATGAAAATCACTTTGATTCTTTCCCTTCAATTTGATCGCTAATTAGCAAGAGATTTAGACACATACATAATATATATATTTTTAATGAAGTGCACCTTTCAATTCTCATAAAATAACTAAAAAAGTTGTAATAACTATCCATTTCTAAATTGTATGCAAGTCACACACACACACACACACACACACACACACACACATATATATATATATATATATATATATATATATATGTATATATATATGTATATATATATGTATATATATATGTATATATATATGTATATATATATATATATATATATATATATGTATATATATATGTATATATGTATGTATATATATATGTATATATATATGTATATATATATGTATATATATATGTATATATATATATGTATATATATATATGATATATATATATGTATATATATATATATGTATATATATATATATGTATATATATATGTATATATATATATATATATAATATATGTATATATATATATATATATATAATATATGTATATATATATATATATAATATATGTATATATATATATATATAATATATGTATATATATATATATATAATATATGTATATATATATATATATATATATATATATATAAATATGTATATATATATGTATATATATATGTATATATATATGTATATATATATGTATATATATATATGTATATATATATATATGTATATATATATGTATATATATATATATATATATATATATATATAATATATGTATATATATATATATATAATATATGTATATATATATATATATAATATATGTATATATATATATATATATATATATATATATATATATATATATATATATATATATATATATATATATATAATATACATACATTCATACATATATGTATAGGTACACACACACACACATTTGTACACATTTGAATTTAAATCAGAACGACAATGACAAAGTCTTTACTTTCCATAATCCAAGCTCTAATGATTAACCAAATAAGGTATTTTCTTAGTATACAACATAATGATGACTATCGTGACACTTTAAATGCCAGCCCTGTCATACTGGTATGTCATGTTACATGTCTAATGGCCAATCAAAATGCCCATTTCATATTATTGAAATTTGCAATGACATGTCACAGATGCAAAGTGTTGTAGAATTACAATAGGCAAATGTGGATTCTATGGGTGATAATTATATTATAAATTTAAATAATTATGTATCAAGTAATGAAAATGACAGTCATTATCATACATATTTATCAGTATAATCAGATCTTTAAAACGGTATCCTATCCACAGTCACTCTAGAAGTCAATCCAGCAAAGGTTAACAAACGTCTGCCATTATAGCCCAGCAGACACAGGTTACACACCTCCCCTGTCCTTGGTGAGATCCCCTTCTGGAAAAGGACTCAATTCATCCCATCTCCCTCCAGAAAGATACATATACTTTTTGAAAAACTGCAAATAAAATACAAGAAGTGGTATATCTAATGGGCTCCGGCAAGTGACATATAATACTGTGATATTTTGCACTAACAGCAGCAGATCTAGAAAACATCGGATGTGTAGCACACAGTAATTCCTTAAACAAATATAAAAAACAAACACAAAAGAGCAATAAAAATGACAACAATAACAACAACAATAATAATGATAAAAACAAATTGCAATAACAAAATGATAACTGATTCT